TGAAAGTTTGTCATTCTAAGCAAACGGCGCCAAAAGAATGGTTACATACGTCAGTTTGCTGAGATTTTGCCTGACTGAGAATTTTTTGCACGGAAATGTAGCTCCTGGTGAGCATTGCCTTTATGGGACCACCAAGCCATAAAATGCCCAAAAACCGATTCAAATTTGCATTTGCTCTTCTGACAAAAGTTCCATCCACGTGAGATTACCTATTTCACTTGAAAAAGCTCTTGCAATGGGTAGTTGTTTACAGTTCATTAGTCAGCACTATGCGGTTTCAGTGCAGTCATTATGAGTGATTGAGTAAGACGTATTGATAGTAGGACCAGCGCGAGCCTCTGCGAGGCAGATATGACGCACTGATAAAAAAAATTTCCGGTCTGTATCTCTTGAGAAAGTTGATTGCAAACAGAACGACTTTGGATGCTAATATTGCCACTTACAGACTCGATACGCCAGTATTCGACAATAAAGTCAGATTTGTATGCATCTCCGATACACATGAAAAATTGGACGAAGTAAGTATTTATTTCGTTTTCTGTTCTTCTAGAATCAGAACCATTCTGTTGGGTTATTACAAACAGCGGAAAATTTGCAAAGTAGAGAATTGCGAATGGAAGTACCATTGACATTGTGAAGGTTTTTTGCGATCACCAAGAAATGCACTTTCAATTGATTTCCCCAGTTACTGCGGATAGAACACTTTTATCAATGAAGTCTAATGGGCTGTGCATAGTTGCATATCAACAGAAACGGCTGGGCATTGGTAAAAATTTGAATGTTGGCGTTTGCTCATGGTATAGAGGAGCACCGAGCAAGTCAACAGGGTAATGCGAGTGCTGCTTGTATACGGAGAGTATGAAGGGGTAATTATTCTATAAGCTATTGCTTTTGCAGTTTGTTTAACTCGGCACCGCAAGGGCACGTAACCGACAGATCTAATGGATATGACCCATCAGCTGAATATCAACATCCACGATTTTACAATGTTTTGCATCGGAGGCCATTTCTGCTTT